ACTTTGTCGAAGGCACTATACACGTTACTTGACAAGGTCGTTCGACGTGTCGCATATCATATTCTAGGTGAAAAATGTTACTTTTTCTTCCTCGATACGAATGCCACCAAAAACTAATTGCACGCGCATTTCGAGTGTATTTAATTTTCTATATGCCCAAGTAGAACATTACTGACTGCACAAGAACGAAATATTGAATATCATGCTAATTAAAATTGGTGTCAGGAAGTCATACAACACAAAACAATACTTCATTTTCTTTCTTGCAATGTAATACTGATATCCTTATAATTATGGTATGTGAATTTCGCGCGCCAATATGCAGTGCATCATAATTAGTGACTCAAGAAGATATTTCCTCGTTCACAAAAAAAGTCCTAATCTGGAACTTGAACCCGGAACTAACGCTTCCTCAAACTGTTATTCCGCCTTCAGAGCACACTTGGATGTCTTTGATTGCATTGTCTCCTGGTTCGCTTCGTGATTAGTAGCATGAGAGAAGTTTTTTTTTCTTTGTCGTATTTGGACTCACTGTTTTGAAGTCAATACAGGAGAATCTGAAATACAACCGTGAAGAACAAGTAGTTCGAGGGATGAGTTAGACAAACTGGAGCTGCCGGCCCAACAATTGTTCGCTCTGAATACTGGCTTGATCTGCTGAAGCTCAGGCGGCGGGGATTTCTTGGTTTAAGTAGAAAGTGGGGAGTCATAATGTCTGCCAGTTTCATCCGCAGCTGTCATTCCCTGTGCTAAGTGCGCATGCACAAACGGGGCGATAATAAATAACGTGGAGTAACACAATGCTTATTGTGACCAACTTTGAAGCCTCCGATCAAAGGCGTTAGAAGTTTCATTTGGCATCCTTTGCACAGATCTTTCATACCTATTCTTAACGGTATCATTTCAATACTGTTTCTTTACCATATGTGGAATGATACAAAGCCACTTGCCTCTGTTTATTGCTAAATTGCGTAGTTCTTTCACGCAACAGCTGAATGTGAGGTTTATTAACGGCAAACGAAACAATCATGGTGAAATCAGACGTCATAACTCATGACGGCTTGTGAATGAGGTCTGGCCATATGATTAGATCATTTTTTATGCAATGGCTATTCTCTTTACGTACGGTGCCTCCATTAAGTAGACTGATATACTGCATCGAAATCCCTGAGCTGACATAATTGATGGCATGTTGGTACCTTTCTGCTATGGGGCATTCATCTAAAAAACTTTGCTATTCTTAATTAAGAAATATGTCCAAGATATTTCTAGCGTATTCGTTAGATTATAATAACAACAGTAAACCTCCTAGAATAGCCGAACTTTTTCTGATCAGCGTATAACGTAAACGAACACTAAACATTTTGCGTGCCTACAACGTAGAGTGCTTTCGTCGCTTGTCATGTCATGTCAATGAGGTGGCTGTTCCGGAGAAGGCAGAGGCTTGATGACGTCAATATTATGGAACATGGGGTGGTGTTGGAGATAACTATTCAACAAATGCTGTCATCTTCAAGGCAAGACCACTTGTGGAAATGTTCCCCTCAATAAAAATAAAGAAACACCACAGTCACCTTCCCTACTCATGTTACGCATAACCTTCATTTCCATGGGACGTGGAATCGACCGAAAAATTATTTATTTATTTATTTTTGAACGTCTGCACGTCTGCACGTAAAAGGTTGAAGCTTGGGGCACGAAAGAGATGCTCGTTCTAAGGGGCTTGTGGAGAAGACCAGAGGACTCCTCTTCCTCGAGGTGGAATGGTCGTAAGTGCGGCTGTGCAAATAGACGACCAGATCCATTGTCCTCATGAAAGCAGACCAAAAATACACCCATATCTGGTGAATCTGGTTGGGTGCGATTCGGGGTGACTGGTCAAACAACTCATACAGGACACCAGGCTGACGCCCGTGCGAACAATAAAATGTCCTTTATAGAACTGATTCAAAGGTGGAGCTTCTCCACAAGAGGTGTGCGGCCATACCTCAGGCTAGACAAACCAGGCACTTAAGGCTGCGTTACGAGCGTCGGTTTGCCTTGCTGGTGACAAAAGTTGGCCGGTCTTGGTTTGATGGTCTCTGCCCCACATTTTGTGAATGTGCCATGTGGTGGACGATGTACATTCCCAGGATCGTATGCAGGTGCTTGAGGTCGTTACGACGATTGCTACACACGTACGAGGGGCCACGTTTTGGCCCCATTCATAAAAGGCAAGTCGGGTGCGCAACCGAGACGGGGGCCCAAAAAGTGGAAACAAAACTGGACCTAGGTAATTGTGTGGAAATAGCAACTGTGCACGCAGCCTAATGGGTATTTTTCGCTTCCAGTTACTCCTTCATGTACAACAATACATTTGACACTTGTGATATACCCCTCTGCTCGCAGGTGGTGTACTTCAGCTCGAGTTGTCCTGAAAACGGCATAGTCTACTCCCCCCCCCCCCCCTTTCAGTGGCAGGCAATGCAGGTTGCCTGCGAGTGAGTGTATACATAATAAGGTCACGGAGAACGATGTAGCCTTTCTGCTATGCTCATAATGTCCAATGTATGACCAGGGGTCCAATATTAGTGACAGTTTATTCTTTAAGCCGTTGGACTGTAGTAGTGCCTGACTCGTAATCATGGCAAGCTATACCGGTGCCATCTGGTGTCTCAATGGTGCCTGCATATAGTTGAATGAATTCTTGTGCCAGCTTGTATGTCGTCCTCGCATGTCGTTTTTCGGCAGATTTACACCTCAGTTTATTCGCGCAACTCATATATTGGGCAGTGGCCTAGCATGCCCAAGGTCTATCATTTCCCATAGTGCGATAAGTTCACAGCTCGTAAAACTAATTACTTATCAGTCACTCAGCTTCCCACCGTGGTGGTCTAGTGGTTAAGGTTCTCGGCTGCTGAGGTGCTTGATAGCGGGATCTAATCCTGGCAGCGGCAGCTGCTTTTTTTTTAGAGGCGAAGCTCCTTATAACGGCCCCTTGCGTCCTCCGTAGTATGTAACGATTATAACATTTTGACCTCCAAGGTGGTGCCAGTGAGAGACTTCTTCTGTGCGTTGTTGAACAATAAAAAATAGTGCTCAATGTACATGTCAATGACTGCTAATGGGGAATGACAGATAGGAGCATTCGGCTTTTAGTTACCGCACAGGCTGTGATTACCATTAGCAGCCATTGGCATGTACATTGAGCACTATCTGACAGGAAAGGGTTGCTACGTTATACTCGCTGGGTGTAACCTCCTTAGCTTTAGAAAGGTTTAGTGAGCGTTGAGCCGCAGTGCCATGAATACAATGAACTTGTATATACCATGAATGAACTCGAGGTGGTTAAAAATGGGAAGTGGATACGAAGCGCAAGCCGTAAGAAAGTAAAAGCCGAATTCTCCGCCTCTCATTTCCCATTAGCCGCCATTGGCATGTACATTGAGCACTATCTGACTGAAAAAGTTTGCTACGTCATACTCGCTGGGCGTAACCTCCTTGGTTTTCGAAAGGTTTAGCGAGCGTTCGGCCGCAGTGCCATGAATACAGTGAACTAGTATATACCATGAACTCGAGGTGGTTAAAGGTGGGAAGTGGACCCGAAGCGCAAGCCGTAAGAAAGTGTGCGTGTGCCACCTCTCGTTTAGTCCTTGGAATGTCCGCTGGATGGCGGTGCTTCTATATGGGGAATATATGATGAAAAGATGCGAGATGGTGGTACTTGGAGTGTTGAATAGATGGACGAACGGACACATAGACAGATGCATGGATGGACGCATGAACGGACGCAGGGGCGGTTGCGTGGACGAACGCAGGGATGGACGCACGAACAGACGCACGCACGGACGGGCTGATGGACGCATGGACAGTCACACTGACGGACGCATGGACGGACGGAAGCAAGAACGAATGGACGGACAAATTCTTCGCCCCACTTTCCATCATTCACTCCGTGGATATGCTGCCATTTTTTTTTTTTTTTTTGTAGAGGCGAGAACGCTGCAGGACCGTGTGCTCAGATATGATTGGTCGTTGAAGAACCCCAGGCGGTCGAAATTTCCGGACCCATCCCCCATGGCGTCTCTCATATATATATATGGTGTTTTGGCACGTTAAACCCCACATAGCAAATAATCAATTATCAGTCACTCGGAAAGCCAGATTTATTCATTTCGCGTATTCATATGACGTAAGTGTAACTTTAGCAAAATCATAGCGTATGATTTCACCTTTCACATATCGTCACTGCCTCGCTAGCTTATCGTTCTACCAAAATATCTTTTTTTCAGCGCTCTTCCCCAAGAACCTTACACTTGACGTCCAAATTCAGTGTGCACATCTATCCGCCTGCATCATTTGCACCAAATTTCGCGTCTACATGTATCTCTACTTTTTAATCTGCATTTTTTTAGGAGCGGAGGTCCTTAGGGTCAAGCCATGCCCGCCGTCTTTCGTGACAGGTGATGACGATGACGCTGATGACGATGAAATACAAACGCGTTCGAGACTACTCATTCTGTTTCTGCCATCATGGCACAGCAAATGCAAGATGCCCACTATACAGCATGACGATTACGCTGATGGCAATGAAGAACACGTGCGTTTCAAGAAAAAAAAAAAGAAGATCGTGAAAGTGCTGTGACACGCGAAAGGCAAAGCGGCAACGACGACAAGCTCTTTCTGCGGAGTCAGAGCATGACACGAGGTGACTCAACGTCTCATTTTTTCTGATTACTCTCACCCTCATTTCTCACCCTATCACTCGGTCGATCAAACATCTCTCAAGAGAAATAAGGGTGTCTGATGGATCGTGCCATAAAAGCCTTTACCGCAAAAAGTACACATGCACTGTCAGCCGTGACGTTTCAGATGACGCACTGGAGCTTCTAAGGCTGATGTTGATGAGCAATCAACCACACTTTAACTAGGAAAATACTCATTAATAGCTTATCACCAACTTCATGTTTTTGTTTTTGTTTTTCAAGATAAAAGGTAAGCAAAACTGTACTATATATGTCTTCTTTTTTTCATTCAACCTTTATTGCGTATTCAACCTTTTTTGCGCAAGGTATTGCGTTAAAAAAGTACAAGGGAGTGTTGGTTATGAGATTTTAATCAACAGCTTTTTCGAAGTCCAGCCGGATTCAAGACGGAACACTTGCTTTGATGCATTTCTGAAAGAAAAGGAAACAACGTTTACGCTGTACATAAGCGGGGACAACGTGAACAGGGCCCTCAATGAGAGCTTAGTTTGGTTGGGTGAAGGGAGAAGAAGGAAAATGTGGCACACTTCTGGTTCCCTAAGCTTCTTTTCACTACAGAGCCAAGGGGAAAGATCATTGTTACGACGGGCGCTTCCCTCTTTGAACCTTCATATGCATAAATCTCCCATTTAGTTTTACGGTGAGGCTTAGTACCTCCCGTTGGAAAGCACCTCCCGTTGGCAATATTTCGTGGCGTAAGCCCCAAACACCAAGTTAAATGGCCCCTCCCTTCCAGCAGACGCTTGTGCACTGTGTTAGCAGATGTATGTGCTCGTTGCGTTTTCGTCTTGCACGCTAAGTGAGGGCTTCGCAAACAAAGAATGGCAAGCTGGCAAACTCGTTCGCTGTTAAGTCGAGCCCAACTGCAACGCCACAACTGAATTTGGACCTCTGGGTGGTTTAGGAACACTTTAACAATTAAAAGCGAACGACATGTCTTCTTTTGCAATCAGGCGTACAGCATAGACTTCAATATTCGTTTCAATAGAAAACACAAAAGCATTAAAACTGAACTGCTGTATTATAAGGTGCTAGTGAACTATGGAAGCACCCTCCCACGCGTTCCTGATATATGTTAAGCTGTAGCTGTTTTGAGCTTCATACGAAAGCTCTGAAGGAAGTCAAACGGCCCTTTGTTCTCCCCACTTGTGTTTGAGGAAAGAGAGACCAGCCTAGAAACTCATTCAGATCCCTATAAGGTGGCCATTGGTAGGCTAAAAAAAATAATGACACCAGAAAGCATGATTACAATGCCCAACGAAAGGAACCAATTCCCCTCAAAAGTAATCGCAGCCTACCACAGTGACCACAAAGTGATTACCGCTATCATTACTGTAAAGTACTAATAAACATCCTCTCACTCACGAGGTGTTGTTTGGGGTACAGATTCAATAGAGGCGGAAATGTTGTAAGCCCGTGTGCTCAGATTTGGGTGCACGTTAAAGAACCCCAGGTGGTCGAAATTTTCCGGAGCCTTCCATTACGGCGTCTCTCGTAATCATATGGTGGTTTTGGGACGTTAAACCCCACATATCAATCAATCAATCGATCAATCGCGGTACAGCTTCATTGGAAATTCATCCTCGCAAGGCGAGATGGCGGCCAATTTTTTTAAGGCCAGTCACTTAATCATCAAGCAGGCCTTTTCAAATATTATAACTTCCTCTTTCTCACTAAGGACTACGCTATACAACATTCCGCCTGAATACGCAGAACAAATGCTGCATTTCCTTCAGGACGAAGGGGGTTGCTAAGCAGCTTTACTACTTTCCATGGTTTCTCATGTTTTATCATGCAAACATGACAATTTTGATAGCTTGAAGAAAAACCATGCGCATCTTTTTATTTCATTTTCTTTGACGCTAAGGACCACCAGAAAGAACAAGAAAATGGCGCATAAAAGCTATGTTTTGCTTGTACTGTTAATATTCAATTCCAAAATTGGGCCGAAACAACATATTGTGAGTGCTGATTGCTGAGACCTGCCGGGGAACTAGGCTATAAGGGTATGAAAAGGCTAGACTTGTCCAGCCAACCCATCACAATGGCTGAATTTGCAGCCTCACGGGAGGACGTTCCCACAGAGACGAAGACGAAATGTCAAATTTCTGGGTGCCATTACAGGTGGTCCGCATTACTTTTTCAAGTAGTGATCTAAGAAACTCAGTATCGAAGTTTACTGCCTCGCGAGTGGATCACCGCAAAAACTTCTAGAGTCCGTCAAGAACATGCGGAGTTACAGGGATTGGTCTAGCACATTATTAGCTTTGTTCTCTCGTCCCGACGTGTGCACTGGAAGCTACGCAAGGATGGATGGCAAGGGGGAAGGAAGCTACGTCAAAGAGTGTCATGACCTAGTGAGCACGCGAACTCTTTCCCGTGGTGATATGTGTGAGCGAGTGTGGCTCACTGTGTAAGCTGAGAGGACAATGGAGCCTGTGGCAAGACACGTAGCTGATAAGATCGCTGCTCTTGATTTATGTCGTTTATTGCGTAGAGTTTCTTAAAATTAACTTGAGGAGACTCTGGCGCTGCGATCATTCAGCGACCAAGGGAATGATGGGTAGTACACGGATTTGCCTAGCCTTCGTACTTGCGGGCAGCGAATCGCACTTGCGGCTTCGTTTATTGCTGCTTTCGGTATCGTTTTTATGGAAAAAACGATTTTTTTTTTACTTTGTGACCTGATTCGAAATGGTAAGCCTAAAAAAATAAGGTTGTGTAGTGCAACCGCTGAACATTTACTGATTTTCGTTTTGATAGGAAACAGCTCCAAGCCACATGGACACACATTGAGGCAGAAGTAGGCCAGAAGTACGAATATTAGACAAATACGTGTACTATCCGTCAATCCCGTGCTCGCTGAAGCACCGTGCGTTGCAGCTGCCACAGACACTAGCGCCATGATATCCCTCTAGCGTATATTAGAAAACTCTATGGTTTATTGGCCAGGAATGCGCTACGTGCACTATTCGACGTCAAACAGCAGGTGCCCATAGATTCGAAGAGAGTGAACACATGCCCCTGTAGTAAAAGGAAGTCTCAGAAAACGGCAGCTTGCGAGCTGCACTTGTGAACGTTCCTTGTCGCGGACGACCACAACGTTTGGCAGACCTGTTCATGGCACTGTCTGGTTTCTGCGGGATGTGCTCTTTTTTTTCCCACCTAACCTATTCTGGTGCATGGTTCATTACCTCTTTAATTAGATGCACTTGTAGGATACACAGGCGCTATAATTTATCCGAAGCTTCTTGCTACGGCTTGCAGTTACAACTGCTAACGAAGGTCTCCAGCTACCTACGAAATTGCTAATGAAGGTTTCAAGCTACCTCAGGTATGAATAAAATACACGTGGCATGATCAACGGAGTAACCTGGAACATGCAGATGATACTCACTCCGATATTGTCAAGGATCCTCCTTTCATCGTGTGTCATTCCGTTGGATTTCTGCAGATAGACAGTGTTGTATACGTCATGCACCATTGTGTGCAAGCGCGCCTTTTATGCATACTCATATAACGTCGTTGCTACCTTGTAGCACTACAAAAGCTAGAATTCTCGAGTTTTAAAAGATAAAAACAGTGTGAAAACAGTTACAAAAAGTGCATTATTTCAATACAAGTACCCATTGTATAGCTGTGGCTGCAAAATATCATACCACGTGACAGTGTTCCGAAGTGTTAACAGTACTAAGAAAGTTTTATTTCTTTTCGTACAGTTACAGGGGACAAAGCAAGCAAAAAAGACTGAAATGGTTCTAGGAGATTTCCCCTCCTGAGAAAAAAGGATGGCTTTTGTTTTTCGCTATAGCTCGCCATGGTTTAAGTGCTTACATACGTGCGTTCAAATAAGGCTTCAGTGTAATAACAAATGTGGGCACTACCAGAAGTCAAAACGAAACGTAAGCTACAATGGTCAGTGTGAACTATAGGATTAACAATGCAACGAGGTGTGAAATGCACACAAAATGGACTGAAACACCTTACCATGAATTCCTGTAATTTTTCAGTGAAGCACTGTTTCATCTGAGGGGTAATAAGATGGCAGATTGAATTATTTTGGAAAATGTTGAAATTTCATAGGTTGAACTTTCACAGTCGTTATTGAATACAAGCATTAAATACGTTGTTATGTAATTGCCTACGCAGAGAGCTCTTGCCAGACTTTGCTGCATAGTTGTAAAGGTGGCTGTAAAATGTGAACTAAGAATAACACGTACCACAAATCAACCAGGAATGCCTTGAGAAAAACAACTTGGTATGAGCTAGCACCTAAATGTACTGAGCGCAGTATTCTGAACATGATCCGCTGATGACTAAAAAGACCTGTGGTGTATCCGTCTTAAGTCTAATGCACCCAATTTTACTTCAACTCAAGTCTAATGCTGACTGCGAAATCTCTGTCTTATATTTGAGAACAAAAGAAAACAGTAATCTTGGATAATTTTCACAAGGTCTTCACGGAGTGTAACACTAGTTGCTGCACAACATTTTGAATGTCACTGATATAATTTCGTGTACATGAAGATGTAAAGCGTGCATGTGTTATACCATAACAAGGGAACAGCAGCAAAATTAGTAGAAAGAAACGTGAGTGTATGGTTAGCATCCTTTATATTTTTATTTCTGTCAATTTACTACGACAATGCCTTCTAACTTACTGTTGTGAACGTGTTATCGCTGGTTTTATTTCGACGCGACTAAAAAATGTGATGCTTATGTATATAATCAACTCCTAGAACTTGTGATAACTGGATAATTAACTAGTAAAAGTTTGAATGCACAGTCATGTACTCATATTTTCTCAATATAATTGTCATCTTCTACTAAATTAACAGATTATTCGTCCTACAAATACGTTGCACAACCCTCACTGCGACTGTTAAATAAGTTTAGGGGTTATTTACTTCGCCCACGTACGTGTTATTGTCCGGGGAAAAATTGTAGCATAAGCTGCACGGGCCGAGGTTGAGCGTTTTTGCGTGGTTTATCAAAAGCCATGCTGTGCAGCCCAAGAAACAGTGACGTCACACGGCGCACAGCCGGCTCCATGAAGAAGACCTAGAAGGTCCCGGAGTGACGTGTGACTAGTTCGCTGGTGCTTGATTTGCGTGAGCTCACTCACTAGTCCGTCTGTCCGTGCATCCGTCCGTCCTTCTGTATGTAGCTCACGCTACGTATATCGTGGCATAGCCGAGCTAAGCCACTGCTAAGCTTTTCATTTTGCTTTTGTTTTCTTTTTCTGGTTCCTCATCATGTAACTTTAGAAGCATGCAAAAATCATACACATCGTCATGAAGTCATGACGTGGTTGAAGGCGAGAGACTGAATGGACAGATGAAACTGTTTATTTGGGCAAACCTGTGCCCGGTAAACGGAAAGTCGGGTTACAGTAGCACACTTGCACTAATAGCGGTGAATGCAGCGTCAGCCATCGATGAACTGACAAGCGGCGATGCGTGTCGGCATTTATACCCTTGCGATCGAATATTCTAGCGTTATCGCTAGCGGCAACGTAGATTCTAGAATAATCTGTGACGTTCCCGAAGTGGGCGTAATCTTGACAAAAATGATCTACTAAAGCCTCGAAGCTTCTCGAACATCATAGGCGCGGTTTGCGCTGAACTTATACTATAACGTAACGGGGTGATAACAAAACTTGGGGAAAGGAACGTGGCAATATTGGCTAACGGTTTATGATGCTCTAAATCTTTAGAAATTTCTTGTGAAATTCGGGTACTCACTGCAAGTATTTTTGCTGGAGCTTCCATTATGTCTTTGATCCTACCGGCACATTCAGTCATGGTCGGGATGATACCGCTGGTGAGCTATTCGTGAAAGAAAATACAGCCAGGTAAGACATTCAATTGTTCTTTGGCATGCACCACAGTGTTCAAGTCAGGAACTACATGTTAAACAAAAATCAGAGAACATCCATCATGCTTTGGGGAGCCTTCTTGCACCTTACCATTTTGTGCAAGTATGGAGAATGCGCAACTTATGTGTTACCACAAAGCAGTAAAATATCATATGGCTAATAGGTTGGCTAATCGCCACGTATAGAACGGCAATTTGTCATGTGTGATCTTTTTCGCTATCTTCCTGCCCTGAAACAATGTATCTTGAAATTATAGTTTGATTTAGAGGAACGATATGAACGTACACTATGCGATGGGCAAAAGTTCACAGCGTGAAACGTACGGAGCAGTGCCTCCCGGTAGATCAAGCTCAAAATTCACATATCAGTGACGCGGCAATGAAATAACATATATAGATGTATTCACTGTTCTTACAATTACCCGCCCTAACACCGGGGCACAAAAAGAAAGAAAGGGCGAAGTGTACACTAATTCTCCCAAGACATCAAACAGTGAAACTTTATGATTCGGGAGTCTAATCTGTCAACGATTCTCACCGCAGAGAGGTTCGCGTAAAACCCAAGACAGTCACAGACACGACACGGATGTCCAAGCTACAGGAACGAACTCGGGCTGAAACAAAGTGTTCACACCTCTCATATATCTACGGACACGTCATCATTAGCGTAGAACATCCATCCCCTCGGGAACCTTTCGCAGCTGCAGTTGCTGTTCCCGTTCCCGAATATTCACTCGCAGCCATTTGTTTGGCTTCTTTATTTTTTTAGTGTAACAGGGAAATTTATCCAATTTTTGAGGCCCACAACCGTTTATGAGGATGATATCGTTTTCCTGTCATATGTTTTACGTCCATCTTTAACTGTTTCACTGTTAAGTTTCGCCGCAAGGGCGAAGCAATGAATGTGACAACAACTGGAATATTAAGCGAAGAAAGACTAGCAGCAAACTTTTTGGCACCTTATCTCGCGTAACTGAACAAAAGCCGCCGGTTTAAGAGAACATGGCCGCTGCTTCGAGCGAGGTGATTTTGGGGCTGTGGGTTGTCTCAGTGCGATGAAAGCTGTGAGAGCGCAACACGTAAACGAGCCGCCTAGTGATGACTGTCGAGATAGCTTACGTGACTTCGCCCTTGCGAGCAAAGTTCGCAGTTGCTGCAGATTTTATGGTATATTTCGTGCAAATGCCGCAGGTGCCTTTGCGATGTGAATGTGCAAATCGCTGTCGCAAAGAGACACATGCTGACTCTATGAATGAACATTATGAGGGAATATTCTACACTCCAGAACAGAAAAAAAAGAATGAAGGAGCACTGGAGAAAAGCGCCTAACTTGCTATCAGTGGTGCATATGTGTCTAGAACTTTCTTTCATAACTCTGTACCAAATAGTCCCGCAACAAGTATCTCCATTAGTAAATATTTACTTTGGATGGCACCGCGTGAGTGGGTTGTCATGTTGACTGCCTCAACTTTGTCCACGAGATTTGATCTCTCTGGTTAGACATGTACCAGCGCTCACCTTTTTCATTACCTCCTCTCTGATTCCTCCGGTCATATTAAGGCATTCACGAGCGCTCTCGATCTTCTCGACCAATGTTTCAGCCTTTGCTTTGTCACGAACAAAGTCATTCACCATGTCCTTAAGCTGGTCGATGATGGTGTCCACTGCGTCATATGAAATAATGGCGCTGTAAAGTTGTTTTAGCACAAATTAAAATTGAAATGACCAAGAAACAATCGCAATGTTTGCTGTCATGTCATTGCAGCTACTTTCATGCGACATCATATGAGAGGACATTTTCGAGGTCGAGAAGGGGAAGAGTAAAACGAGATGCCTGTTTCTACTAGTCGTTGTCCTTTCGTAGCTTTCATCCCACCATTTTGTGACGCAGCTCTTGATTCTGGTAGAACCAACAGCTTGGCTAGTTGATTACATGTCTCATGTACACACATATACAAACACACACACACGCACGTGTGTGTCTGTTTGTGTGTACACGAGACATTAAATGAGACATGCACACACACACACACACATATTCACTCACATGTGTGTGTGTGTGTGTGTGCGCGCGCGCGCGTGTGTGTGTGTATGTGTGTGTGTGTGCGTGTGTGTGTGTGTGTGTGTGCGTGCACTTCCGTGCGCGCGTGCGTGTGTGCATGGGCGTTCAGTGCAATATATATTTGGTTGTTTTCTTTCTCTACTCCCGCAAAATTCTAATGCGGCTTGTAAAACGATTATATTCAATGTTGTCCCTACGTACACCGAGCCCAAGCTTGTTACGTCATCCTGGGAATGAGTTTTTATGCCATTGTTGTTGCTTTGCTGCATAAGCACGTTATCGTCTACCAGAGTGGCTTTCGTTCGTTCATCGTACCTTCGACTCCTTATCATTCAGAAATTTTACGGACTTTTTTTAATAGGAATGCATTTCTTAGTTGAGACGTGTCAGGCGTCCGGTGGCGTCTACGCGCCGGCCCGCGTTATCTCTCTGCTCTCACTCCCTCTTCCATAGCAAAAGCTGCGGGCGCCCACGCTTATCCTCGACCCTACAAACCGGAGCAGGTAGTGGGGGCGGAGTAGCGTAGAGAGAGTGGAGAGGAGGAGCACACTCTGGCTTGTGAGGGCGCTTGCATCGTGGCAGCTCGGGGGAGCTCCCACGTGCGTGAAGGGAGTGCAGGAGAAGGTAGGTGAGTGCTTCGCCGCTCCTTCTCTAGCCGTTCGCTCGCTTTCCTCCATGCACTCCACTCTCCCGTACCGTCGCTCGTTCGCATATATAAATGGAGTGAAGCGCACGCCTCACTCTCGACCTTTCGCTGGCTGATAAATGTGTAAGTGGTCGTGGTACAAATCCTCCTCTTGTCTTCAATTTACGCCATTAAAATTACGACGCCATGTACTCTGGGTGCAAGAAATGCGTTCGCATTTCCTCACGATTTCCTTCGGGAGATTGGAGCAAATTTTAGCGGCGAAGCTCCACTTAAACTAAACTTGCGCTGCGTCAGGCGTAGCCGGCCACATGGACAGACATACGGACGGATGGATGGACAGACACCCAGACAGACGGACGGACGCTTTGCACTACTCATCAGCCTTTACTCCGTGGTTAGAAGGGCAAGAGTGGGGGCTAGTTGGTTGAACATTGTTGAGACTCACACCGCGCTGGAATTAAACACACAAATAAAAGACACACTGAAGCACAGGTAGGACACACACGAGCGCGAACTAACAACTGTTTATTCGATGGAAATGTGACACACACATATATAGGTTGAAAGGAGAGAAAAAGAAGAAAAAGAAAGAGCGTGAACATGCGCACTGCCCACCAAGATAAAGCGCCCATCAGTGCTAATCAAATCCAGCCTTGTCAACTATCTAAAATGTCTACGTAAAAAAGTATATTCATTGTTTGACAAATGAATAGATGGCACACTAACACATTTGTCCTCACCAAACCTGCGCATCATGAAAGCTTCAATGATTTCTCTTTCCCTTTTGTCTTCTGATCTGGATAAAACAATGGTCTTTTCAAAGTTCGGCTTACATTGACACTTCATGCAATGGGTAGCTAAGTTACTGGGGTGACTGATTTGCTTGCAGTTATAATCATGCTCGCGTAAACGTGAGTTAAGGCACCTACCAGTTTGCCCAACGTACCAATTTCCGCAAGGCAAAGGAGTACCATATACAACATTTGTTTCACATGGAACAAATTTGTTAACATGCCTAACCGAACATATGTGGTTGTTCCCTTGGTTGCCGCTGTTTACTTGGTGACAAAGCGAAATTAATTTGTGAGGTGCCGTAAAGGTCATGGGTATGCCATGCCTACTTGCAATTTTTTTCAGTCCATGCGAAATGCCGTGAACGTAAGGCATAACAATAGGCCTCTCCTCTGGCTTCTCTTTTATTCCTACGTTCGTGTTGTGCGTGCTGCCGATGGTTTTTAAAAGCCTCTCGGCCAAGGCTGTGATTAAGGCATCAGGGTAATCACTGTCCCTAAGTCTATCAATCTGTTATGTTTCCTTCAATCTATTATGTTTCCCTAGGTCGAAATGTGCCAACATAAAACCCGAAGTTTTTGTCGCGATGTTTAAAACAACATTTCGTGGTCTTGATTTCACTTACGAGTTGCCCACAAGTTCTGGCATAAAGTTTTTAGACATCATGATTTCGCAAGGTGAGGGACACATGTGCTGGGAATATGACGTTAGAGGTGATAAAAGTTTGTTAAGCTACAGCTCGGGTCACTCCAAGCTTGTGAAAAGAAGTGTTGCATATGCGTGCATGTTAAACAGCTGCCAAAAGTCGTGTGACCACATGGTTGCACGTAGTTTGATGAAGCAGATTGATAGACTTAGGGACAGTGATTACCCTGATGCCTTAATCACAGCCTTGGCCGAGAGGCTTTTAAAAACCATCGGCAGCACGCACAACACGAACGTAGGAATAAAAGAGAAGCCAGAGGAGAGGCCTATTGTTATGCCTTACGTTCACGGCATTTCGCATGGACTGAAAAAAATTGCAAGTAGGCATGGCATACCCATGACCTTTACGGCACCTCACAAATTAATTTCGCTTTGTCACCAAGTAAACAGCGGCAACCAAGGGAACAACCACATATGTTCGGTTAGGCATGTTAACAAATTTGTTCCATGTGAAACAAATGTTGTATATGGTACTCCTTTGCCTTGCGGAAATTGGTACGTTGGGCAAACTGGTAGGTGCCTTAACTCACGTTTACGCGAGCATGATTATAACTGCAAGCAAATCAGTCACCCCAGTAACTTAGCTACCCATTGCATGAAGTGTCAATGTAAGCCGAACTTTGAAAAGACCATTGTTTTATCCAGATCAGAAGACAAAAGGGAAAGAGAAATCATTGAAGCTTTCATGATGCGCAGGTTTGGTGAGGACAAATGTGTTAGTGTGCCATCTATTCATTTGTCAAACAATGAATATACTTTTTTACGTAGACATTTTAGATAGTTGACAAGGCTGGATTTGATTAGCACTGATGGGCGCTTTATCTTGGTGGGCAGTGCGCATGTTCACGCTCTTTCTTTTTCTTCTTTTTCTCTCCTTTCAACCTATATATGTGTGTGTCACATTTCCATCGAATAAACAGTTGTTAGTTCGCGCTCGTGTGTGTCCTACCTGTGCTTCAGTGTGTCTTTTATTTGTGTGTTTAATTCCAGCGCGGTGTGAGTCTCAACAACTTTACTCCGTGGATATGCTGTGAATTTTTTAACACGAAAGTGTTTTCTGCCGGTGTCCATCAATACTTCATTGACGTATTTCTGCCGCGCATATGAAGTCGTAAAACTAACGCTACTATATAAGAAAAAAGAATCGTTCGAAAAAAAAATTGCCCGCAGCTTCCCTCGGGACAACACTGAGGAGGGTGCGGAGCATATAATTGGTTAACGGGGTGTTAAAGTGCGACTTACTTGGGTCGATGGCTAAATTGGTTAACGTGGTTGTGAAATGGGGTGTTAAATTGCGACTTACTTGGGTCGATGGCTAAATTGGTTAACGTGGTTGTAGGAGGGGGTGTTAAATGAGTGAACACGTACACACGTATGCGAAAGGGCGGCGCTGGTCGAAGGGACGTCGATCATTGTGTTTGTGGATTCGTTGGAATTCATTTCACCGCGACCTTGGACGTCGACGCGCCGTACAAACCAACCGACGAGCGGCAACTGAGCGAGCGCCGACCCTGAGTATATATACAGCTCGACGGCGCATGCACTGTCAGCTGTTGAATGTTCTCGAAGCGCGACGCCACATGCGCGTCCACTGGAGAATCAGGAGAATTGTAGATGTCGAACGCGGTGTGTAGAGGAGGAAGGGTGCACAGATGGTGGAGGAGTGAAGCGCGCGCGGTGTGTAGAGGAGGAAGGGATGCACAGATGGTGGAAGAGTGGGCGACGGCGCGACGGCGCATGCGCGCGCGTCAGCTGTCGAATGTTCGAGAAGCATTGCGGACGGCGCGGACGGCGCGGACGGCGCACTACAAGGCGCGAGTATAAGATGCTTCCGCATCTAAAATTCACACCATTTCCCAAAGAATACCGCGATGGCAGCAGCAGCGTTGCGCACGGACGCAATCGGCGTTCTTCACTCGCGCCTCGTCGGTGTCGTTGATCTTCCACTGCTGATGCTTGCGTTCAGCTTCCCTGGCTCGTGTCTCGTCGGTCTTGAAGGCGTGACGTCGCCATTCGCAGACGTGATCGGCTTCGCCAACCCTCGCAACGCTGGTGACAACCAGGCTGGGCCTAATCGCTTTGGCGGATATTTCGGCGGGCGAAGGAGCGTCGTCTTCCAACGTCCTTGTTAACGAGCCGAAAGAGTGTTGCCACTTGATATGCGCTCGAGCGTTTCGAGTGATATAGTGGGTGAGGCGAGAGAGAGGAGCCACGTACAGACATCAACGTGCTCATTTGGTGCACAAACTGAGAAATCAGTGCTGTAGCGAGAGGTGGTAGCTTCAGGTGTGGCGGGCGAAAGGAGGAGGCGGCAGCTGCGGGCGCTACGGCGAGTGCGTGGTAGGCGAGGCGCAGAGCGACATCAGCGCGCACTGCGAGGGTAGCGTGACTTCAACGCGCAGCTACAGCGTTACTTGCTTACACCGCTCCAACACCTGTTACAAGGTGAGAGCATTGCCGCGCGTTCATACAGATACACGGGGGGACAGTGTTACACAGGCTAGTGAAAGAGCTGCTTCACATATGAAATTTCTCTTGCTTGGCGTTGAACCTCTCACTCCTTGAGTAACTACGACAAGCGCCTGGTGCTCTACCGACTGATCCATTGAGGCATTTGTAGAGAGGTGTACAAATGCACTTTATATCTTTCATACATTCTCTCTCACTGCCTGCTCTCTTTTGATAAAATGGGACGATGCTGCCGCCTGTGAGTGCTCAATAGAATTAATGCGGCATCACACAGTTGAAGCATGGCGTCCAAGATTGCGTGCCGGTGCGCAGCCTTGGATGCCATCGTAATAACTTCTCGATAGCAATGAGAAGTCTTGACCGAGCGTGCATCATAGAGTCGCCGACGCAGTTATGCGCTTTGCCTTTCGTTTCGTGTTAGCGCATGACAGCTCATTGTTGAAGTCGTGGAGCTTCAAAATTCACCAATGATGGTTCACCACCGACTACTTCGAGTGTGAGAGCAATGCCTTATTGAATAAAACTGCTCTAGGAACTACTGCAGAAAGGCAACGATGTCGACGGGCAAATGCGGTAGCTTAGCGGATCGCAAATGAGTTCAGAAGGACGTGGATTTAGAACGCCGGCACATGTTCCCAGATCAAGCTACGAACCTCGGCGTCCCACTTTGCTGAATCGCAGTATGCGCGAGCACTAGCCTAGGTTTCAGCAGCACACACCGTGGTGTTTCCATAACTTACCATTTTTGAAGACGCACGTATCGAGCAGCAGTATGTAATGGGAGATTGTTTTGATATCAACCTTGTGCGTGATTCACGGTAGGCTATGTTCAGGTGTACGCTAAAAACTTCAGTTACCACAACGGGTAACTCATTACCATGGGTGGTAGTCGTCGCGATGGAGACGTTTTACTAGACGTGAACGTGGCTGTGTTCACGTTAAACGGTGCTATTGCTTCAAAACTCTTGTAAAAACTGTACAAGCTCTCATATATCACTACACAATAAGCACTTCTATGAAGACATGTTTCACTTTCGTGTGATACCGATTCCTATGACGGAGAGATCAGCCATGGTATTCCCTTGTTATTTAACATAATATTTGTATACGGTGAATATATATACCTTGCTTCCAAGTCACAAATGGGAAAATGCTGCGGGTCACATACAACGAAATAGATCGTAGAAAATGCTCCAAGAAACGCAGTGTGGAAGCATATTCAAAGACAAATTTTTGCATCATTGTTTACCGTATGATTGCACATTTCCCCTTAATACTGGAAACTGCGATTAAGATACGACCGCCCAGACGCAATACGTTTTTCACAATCAGTCGGGCTTCAGAAGCATGCGTTATTCCTTGTCGATATCTATTTTTGTAGCTTATCGCAAAGGACGGCGTATAGCACACTTAGGCGCAAACTGCTAGGACTTCCAGACAATCCCCGAATGGCACATGTTGTTAAAATGTAGCCAGTGTTTATTTTCGTCTGTAGGGCAAATTATTTTGTTCTGTGCAAGCACCGGGCACACACATTCTGGCATTTCTATAGCCAATAAATTCCGCAAAAAAAGGTTTTTATATTTATGTATACACAGTCGTAAGAAATATGAGGGGGACACTGGAATTACCTGCTAACGCCATAGCAGCGAAACGCGGATGGCGAGCGCAAAACTAAATGCTGAGACAAAAAAGTATCTAATAAAGTTTAGCACGTAGTATTCATATATGTACATTGCCGGCAATCGCTGATTAAAAGAGAACGTCATGTTTCCTTATATATTGCCCCTGACAGCATGCACCCACAAGGTTACTAAATTTAACAGCGGTGGAAAATGATATTCCTTCAAGAGGTTGATTTAGGACAGTGTTCTGCAAGCATTGATTTCTTCCTGTCTATATAAAAAATGGAATAGGGGTCAATACCTCTCTGTCTCCAAATTATCTGGATAAAAGTGAGGGTCGCATGGTCGTTTACAAATGAAAAAATCACCAACCTGTCATTGGTTCCTCAGTGGTACTTTGGGCTGCAACGAAGCTGATGCATAGCATCGCAACAAGTACCACAACTAGACCCATGATGCTCAAGTCAGTGAGAGTATTCAATTATTCGTAAACTGATCACTGGTTCAAGTTAACGTAAACTCCTTGCCGTACCTCAAAGTACGCTCCAGGTGGGGCTTGTTCCTCGTGTGGCGTCATGTACATCACCACTCGCTTTTTATAGAACATTTCTAAGTTATTCTCGTTTCAGCTGCACCCACATCCGCAGTCACACCTCCGCGACGCGCCCACTGAAAGGCGTACAATTCCATTAGGGGCACCATGCCAAGTGTGAACAAGCGCCACTTTTTTAGTGCTTGTTTGCCCCTCTTCTTTTCTTTTTTGAATACGCGGCATTGTGGGCGCATTGTTCAGTTATTTGCGTGCTCTTACATCACCAGAATTCTGTGTGGCGAAGCAAATACTCTCACGGCCATTGCCATAGTATCAGCTGTCCAATTGTGCTACGGCAGTCAGAGGCGCTCACACCATGGTCGCTACATGCAAAGAAACAAGTATTTAGTGTCCACGCTTGCACATAGCCTGAATGTATTGACGTGGCATGCGTCGGGCATAGATCTTCAATGAAGGCAAGTACACCGAAGGTAACAAGTGCAACTGTTTCGACGTGAAGGTAATATCACGTGAGCTACAGATAATTACACATTTTCTTTCAGTATTTCACTTGTCGTACAACATTCTGTTTCCCCAACACGCTCCTTGGTGGCCTCGTGCTAAGTATAAACAATGGCTAGAAAATAGAGAAGCACCTATCTTTCCACATCACTGACTCTTACGTCAAACATTCTATCGGACAAAAGTGCTATCATCTGTAATACTGATCTGTTTAAAGCAAGGAATTGCTTGTTTAAAAAGAATGGTTAAAATCACCTCTATCTGTAAAGATATATCACTTCACCACATTTTCAGTTTTTATTGTATTAAGTAGCGACTCAACAGCTCTGACAACCCCATTACATATATAAAATAATAAATAGGAGTACTTCATAAACTCTTGATAGGATATGAATGTATATATATATATATATATATATATATATATTGTAAGATGGCGTCGAGTACACTCAAGACTCTCCTTTATTGACCCGAGTATGAGCCCCACAACCTAAACTTGACTGGTGATGATGTAATGCACAGATGAAAATATGGGACGCATAAATAATGCTCACACTTATTTTCCCCGCGCACTTGAGCGGCCGGCCCGGCCGAGACTTAGGCGGGAAAGGTACGGCGCACAAAGGGTTTAAGACGTGAAACGTGGACTATCTCGGAGGCACGTTAACGATGGTCCGAGGAACCCTCGACGGGAGTGACAAGGTAATTGACAGGAGATGTTCGTTCACAAACAACGTAAGGTCCTACAAAGCGAGACTGAAACTTTTCACACAATCCGGGTGTGCGAACAGGCGTCCAAAGTAGTACTTCATCTCCAGGATGGAAGGTGACGTCTCGACGAAAGCTGTCATAGCGTTGCTTGCGGTCTTGTTGACTGGCCTCCGTGTTGAGTTGAGCACGTTGCCGGGCCTCAGCAAGCCTGGAGACGAAATGTTCTGGCGTAGTCGTCGACGTTTTTGACATTGCATTGAAGAAAGAGGCGTGAATGGTGAATGTTGGCGCACGACCATAGACGAGGAAGAAAGGTGAATACCCGGTGGTTCGTTGAACAGCGGTGTTGTGTGCAAATGTTACGAACGGCAAGATATGGTCCCAATTATCGTGGTTCGGTCTGATGTACATGGATATCATGTCGATTAGAGTATGGTGGAATCGCTCTGTCAGCCCATTTGTCTGCGGGTGGTAAGCGGACGTGGTCTTATGAACTGTGCCACAAGTTTTTAGAATTTCGTCCAGAATTGTCGACATGAAGGCCTTTCCTCGGTCACTTAACAACGTGCGAGGTGCACCATGACGCAACACAATGGCTTCTAAAAAGAAGGCGGCAACGTCTGAGGCGGAGCTAGTGCGTAGAGGAGCGGTCTCCGCGTATCGTGTGAGGTGGTCGACGGCTGTGACGATCCAGCGGTGGCCCGCTGACGTTACGGGAAGTGGCCCGACGAGGTCTATTCCGACAACGGCAAACGGTGTGTCGGGACATGGAATGGGTTGTAATAAGCCAGCAGGAGCTGAAGTTGGTCGTTTCCGGCGTTGACAAAGTGCGCAAGAAGCGATATAATTAGCCACAAAGGTGGAAAGACCAGGCCAGAAGAAACGGCTCCTAACGCGGCTGTAGGTCTTTTGAAATCCCAAGTGTCCAGCTGACGGTTCGTCGTGCAATGCTTCGAGAACTTGTTTTCGCAGCGAACGGGGAAGTACTGGCACCCACCGATGCCCATCCGCATTGTAAGTATAGTGCTGCAGGACATTGTTCTCTAGCTTGAACAGCCGTAGCTGACGACGTAGTCTGGCATTAGGTGGAGAAGGCGAGCCATTCAAGTATCCGATGATGCGGTTACAGTAGGGGTCGTCACGTTGGTACGCGGCAAACTGGGCGCTGTTGTTTAAAGGTAGCGACCCAGCAACTGCCAGGGGTGATAACGTGAGTGAAGAGGAAGCCGCTTGATCACCTGAGGGGCATTCAGGATGCGTGGTTGGAGGTGAAAGTGACAGAGGGCAGCGAGAGAGAGCGTCAGCATCCTGATGCTGTTTGCCGGATCTGTACACAACGTCAAAAGTGTATTCTTGCAAACGCAGTATCCAGCGACCGAGGCACCCAGACAAATTCTTCAGCGAGGGCAACCAGCATAGGGCATGGTGGTCGGTAACCACAGTGAAGTGGCGTCCATACAGATAAGGTCGAAATTTCTGGATGGCCCAAACGACAGCGAGACATTCCTGCTCTGTTATCGAGTAGTTCTGCTCTGCAGGTGTTAGTGCACGGCTGGCATACGCAACTACTCTCTCACGTGAAGTGTCGTCGCGCTGGAGGAGGACAGCACCGATTCCGTGGCCGCTGGCATCTGTGTGCAGGAAAGTGGGTGCACTCTCATCAAAGTGACGGAGGACGGGGTCTGATGTCAAAGCACGCTTAAGGGCTTGGAAAGCACACTCGCACTCGTCAGTCCACGTGAAATCCGTCCCTGACGTCAGAAGCTTGTGTAACGGCCCCGCAATGGCAGCAAAGTGACGGATGAAGCGGCGAAAGTAAGACGCCAGGCCCATGAAACTTCGCAATTGTTTTTGATTGTGCGGACATGGAAAACTAATTACGGCAGCAACCTTGTCGGGGTCGGGTCGAACGCCGTCTTTGCTCACAAGGTGACCCAATACTTTGATGCTTGTGCTGGCGAAGTGGCACTTTTTTGTATTGAGCTGTAGGCCAGCGTTCGAAATGCACGTTAGAACTTCGTCCAATCGCTTAAGGTGCCGAGAAAAAGTAGATGAATAAATGACGATGTCGTCTAAATAACATAAACAGGTTTTCCATTTGAGACCACGTAAGACGGTATCTATCATGCGCTCGAATGTTGCTGGAGCGTTGCATAAGCCAAAGGGCATGACGTTAAATTCGTAAAGCCCGTCAGGCGTCGCAAACGCTGTTTTCTTCTTGTCTGCTTCGCGCATACGTATTTGCCAATACCCGCATCGGAGGTCGAGGCTGGAGAAATATTCTGCGCCTTGTAGGGAGTCCAGGGCATCATCTATGCGTGGCAACGGATATACGTCTTTTTTCGTGATCTTATTGAGCACTCTGTAATCAACACAAAAGCGGACAGAGCCATCCTTTTTCCGGACCAACACTACAGGAGACGACCAGGAGCTGGATGAAGGTCGAATAATATCCCGTTTGAGCATGTCGGCGACGTTCTCCTCAATGATTTGCCGTTCTGCCGAAGAGAGACGGTATGGGCGGCGGCGTACAATGTAGCTGCCTTCGGTTTCGATGCTGTGCTCTGCAACGGAGGTGCGGCCCAGAACTTTGCAATGTACATCAAACGAAAGGCTGTGCTTTTGGAGAAGGTCTAAGAGGTCTCTCTTTTGCTCGGCAGTGAGGTGAGGACTTATGGTGTCATTTAAGGTAACAGTGGTAGTCTTGATATCAGTAGTAGCAGACAAAGGCGGTGATTCTGCGTGAAGGGGAACCAGCGAAAAGGGCTCACTGTCAGCAAAGCAGCTCACAGCAGTGCCCTGGGGCAGCATCACTGGCGAAGAAGTTGGATTCAAGGCGGTTACCAATGCTTTACCGTCGTTAAACCACACACAGCCGGGTGCTATAGTAAGCCCTGCAGGTTTGGAGCGAACTGATGGAGCTATGAACACGTCACCATTAACTATAGTATCCGAAGCGATCGTTAGAAGTTGTTCATCTCCTGGCGAAATGAAACAGTCAGTGGCAGCAACTAAACGGAAGCTGTATGGATCGACATCCGATGAACTCTCAGTAGCTGACATTTGAATGACTCGCTGACGACACGATATGAAAGCTGATGCTGAAGAAAGGAAGTCCCATCCTAAAATTACTGTGTGAGTGCACAAAGGAAGTACAAGAAACTGAATGTGGTGAAGGATGCCATCTATGAAAACGCGGACTGTGCAAACACTTGAAGGCTGAATAGGGACTCCATCTGCGCAACGAAGGGGAGGACCATCGTAGGGCGTCCTAACTTTCTTCAAGCGGGTACAAAAGTCTGCACGAATTACGGAAAGTGATGCGCCTGTGTCCACCAGTGCCTCTGTCTGTATACCTTCAACATACACCAATAAAACATTCGATGGGCGGTCCGGAGGAGTTTGACGCAGTTCGAAAGATGCAGCTTTCCCTCCCGAAGCTGCACTGTTCAGTTTTCCAGTTGGCGGTCGAGAATTAAAGTAGAAGGTCGGAGAGGAGAAGAGGAACGCCCTTAAGCGTGAAGGAACGGTGAAGCCCTTAAGCGTGAAGGAACGGTGAAGGTTAGCGACGACGTGAGAACCGGGAACTGCCAACTGGGTCAAAGTTCTGCGGAGACGGCGACCGACGTGTGCTGTTCGGATACAGCCGACGATAGGGTGGGCCAGTCGCGTAGAAGTCGTCCCGTTCAAGGTTATCGTAGCTTCGTCGTTCGTCTTGCTGACGGCGTCGGCAAAACCTTGAAATATGACCACGGATGCCGCAATAGAAGCAAGTCGGTCGCGAACTG